GAAATGAGGGGAAGAGTGAAGGTGTGGAGCTTTTGTTTCTCTCAGCTGGGTGTGTTGCTTTAGGCTTGTGAGACAGAGTTCAGGTGTTGATTCTCGTGAGAGTTCTTTGTTTTTTCAGACTGTGACCTTCTTCTGATCCAGCCAAATGGCATCAATAATCTTACAATAAGTTCTGGTAAATAATATTTCTGGTAAATACTCCTTTAAAAAGTGTTTTTTGATTATAATTGTATTATTAGTAGACTTGAACACGTGGATATGTTGTCATTCTTATGCTATAATTTAACTTATTTATTTAACTATATTTATATATAGCTTAATTTGACTATGAGATGGACACTTGCTTCTTGCACTTTGTTGCATTTCATTTGGTTTAATGAAATATATTTCAATAAAATATTCTTAAGTAAAATTGTTGATTTTTTTTGTGGGAAATGTTGTTATTGGCAGCCCTAGATATGACAATAATATAGGGGAGATCTGTTAGTGTTCAAAGTGCTGTTGGGATTTAAAGAGCTTTGTGGGTTACCATTGTGCAGAAGAGTAGAGCCTGTGCTTCAGTCCAGGAGAAGCCCAAAAAACACTGATAAAAAGATTAATGTTGTTTTATTTATATAACTGTGTAGTTGCAGATACAGTGAAAATCTCTTAGCTCCACTTACGCATGCATGGGTGCTATGGCTAACTAGCTGTTATCTGCAAGAAATAAAATTTTGAGAAAGAAGGGGTGAGGCATTCTCAAAACAGAGAGTGTTTTCTAACAGATGTTTTAATGGTTGTTTTTCATTCAGATATATATTTTAAGAACCCTTATATCTGCACTGTAAAAAAAATCTTTAAAAATTATATTTACGATGAAATACCGGCAGCTATGGTTGCCAGAACTTTGCCATGAAAAAGACTGTTTAAATTTACAGTGAAAAACTGTATTTCATTAACTGATACAATGTTAATATGTAAACCTTTGAGTTAACTCATTTTATTTGCAGAAACCGACTGCACTTTATTTGGCCAATTGGCATTTGTTTATAAACTAATACTTATGTTTAACTAACGCAAACATATTGGTCTTAAGAACTATTTTGCTTAAGTCCATGAAGAACAATCTACTGATTTATGCAAAACTTTCATTAAAAGCATCAATTCAGCTCAAATCTCTTGCAAATAACAGCAGCACACATTCATGTGTGATTGAAATTATTAAAGAGAATCACACTGTATCAATAACTACACATTTACTGCCTTTAAATAAAACCACAAGCAGCATAACATCTGTGTTTCTCTGTCCGTCCTTTACTTAAACACAGGCTCTGCTCTCCAGCACAATGGTGACCCACAAAACACAACAGGAAGTTGACTGTTAGGTTTTACAGTATTTTGCTGTTTCCTTTTCTTGATTTTACGGTGAAATACCGGCAGCTGTGGTTGCCATTAATCTACAGTTTTTGACAGTTTGCTTCAGTAAATTAAATTAACAGTATATTTCTGTTAAAAAATTAATTTCACAGCGTGTTTTACTTCATCTCACACATTTACCCCCTTTAATCCCACAGCAAAATACTCAATTTTAAAGAGCACTTTTATGTGTCCACACTACAGAGTGTTGAAGTGACACAGAAGCAGTGAAGTTAATGAGATAATTAAATGAGGATTGAGGATTAGTGATGAACACCTGTTAACGAGCAGAATCACTGAAGGAAAGAGAAACAAGAGCAGAGAAACACAACTTACAGCCAAAGCCAAAGATGAAATCAACTGAAAATAAAACACATAAAATTTATCAAGATCTCAGCAGAGGAGGATTAAACAGCTCCACAAACAGCATCACCAGCTTCTTACGTGTATAACACATAACTAATACTTTTGAGTTGCACCACTGACACTACCGCAATAATTGTGAAACATTCCTATGCACAAATAAAAGCTTTGAGCTATGGCACAATCTAAACACACACAGACATCAAACTTCAGCCTATGGATCTCAAGATTGGTGGCAATCAAAAAAAAATTAATGCGTGCTGGAAGTTTTGTACTGGCACCCAGCATGCATGTTTTTTTTTTTTTATATAATAGTCACTATTCTTCTTGTCATCACAAATGTGCTTTACACACAGCAACAACAACAGAAAAAAATAACATTAAAGAGTCAAGGGCCAAGAGCGCAACTAAAGCAACCACTGATCGCCAAAATGGTGAGGCCAAACAAAACATTTTCAATACAATATAAACCTCGGTTAATTCTCAAATAATTTTTGTAGATATATGACAGAAATAAAGTGAGTCTGGTTAGTAATGAGTGAAGCTGGTAATGCTGTTTGTGGAGTTGTGTAATCCTCCTCTGCTGTTTTATTTTGGTTAATTTCATCTAAGGCTGTGGCTGGAAGTCAGTTGTAGTTTTGTTTCTTGTTCTTTCCTTCAGTGATTCTGCTTGTTAACAGCAGCTGTTCATCGGTGTCTGAATTCACTCATTTGTTTTCCATCACTCGGTCTAGTGGACTATACACAGTAAAATCCAGAGTGTTAAATGAACACTGCTCGGAGCATATATGGTCCCACTCTAAAAGAGTGTTAAAGTAACACTGAAGCAGTGTTAAAGTTAATGAGATAATTGTGATTAATTAAGTGCTGAATGAGCATTAGTGATGAACAGCTACTGTGAACAAGCAGAATCACTGAAGAAAAGAGAAACACAAGAATTACAACTGACTTCAGCCATACCCTTAGATTAAATCAACTGAAATAAAAGAAGAAATTAAGGCCCGGTTTCATAGACAGGGCTTAACCTAAACCAGGATTAAGCCATAGTTCAATTAGGACATTTAAGTAATTTTTATAAACATGCCTTAGAAAAAAGCATTACTGGCACAATTGTGTGTATTAAACATATGTGACAGCAAGGAACTTATGGTAAAATCATGCCATGTGTCTTAGTCTCTGATTGCAATTTATCTAAAACTGTAGTGTGCATATATATATATATATATATATATATATGTATGTGTTTGTAATATACATGTACATATTGTATTGCTACATCAATAGCAGATGAACAGCTGCTGTTAACAAGCAGAATCACTGAAGAAAAGAGAAACACAAGAATTACAACTGACTTCAGCCATACCCTTAGATTAAATCAACTGAAATAAAAGAAGAAATTAAGGCCCGGTTTCATAGACAGGGCTTAACCTAAACCAGGATTAAGCCATAGTTCAATTAGGACATTTAAGTAATTTTTATAAACATGCCTTAGAAAAAAGCATTACTGGCACAATTGTGTGTATTAAACATATGTGACAGCAAGGAACTTATGGTAAAATCATGCCATGTGTCTTAGTCTCTGATTGCAATTTATCTAAAACTGTAGTGTGCATATATATATATATATATATATATATATGTATGTGTTTGTAATATACATGTACATATTGTATTGCTACATCAATAGCAATATCAGAAAATCTTCATAAACGATTTTTCTAAATATGGTTCATAATGAGATTTCAATTCTGGCACTCATAGACATGAAGAATCAGCATGTGAATCTCAGCAGTGGTGACAAAATATTCTGATAATTTTTATGTGATTTTTGATTGTCACAAAACAAGGCAGTAAAAAGTCACAACAAAAAATTAAAATAAAAGCAAATAGTAAAAATTAATTAAGACAATGCAGCTGCATAATTTATTCATGTCGCAATGCATGCTGGGAGCCATGAATGAGTTATGATTGGTGCACCCAGAATGCACTGCAGCATGAATCTGTCTGATGATCATCACCATTGTTGAGATTCATATGCTGATTCTTGATGTCTGTGTGTTTAATTAGTGCAGCTGAAACTAGTATTCAAAGTGTTTTTAAAGTTATTCCTATGACTTAAAATACAGTTGTGATCCATAACATTATCTACTAAATAATACCCATTTCTGCTGATGACATCAATGAACCTGGTTACAACATTCCAATTACATAATTATAAAAAATAAAAAAAAACAATCTCAACTAATTTTCTCTTGGTTTTGCTTATCATAACAAATGTGTTTCAAAAACACGGTTACAGTCACCAGAGAAAACTAATGTAAAAAACTCAAGGGTCAAGACTAAACAAACGCTTATCTCCACAGCGGTGAGCTAAACCTCTGTTAATTCTTAATAAGAAATGTTTAGACGCATGACAAACAAAAATTCAAACTGGTTAGTAATGTGCAAAATTGGTGATGCTGTTTGTGGAGATGATTAATCATCTTCTGCTGAGATCTTGAGAGATTTAATGTATTTTATTTCAGTTGATTTGATCTAAGGTTGCGGCTGAAGTCAGTTGTAGTTCTTGTGTTTCTCTTTTCTTCAGTGATTCTGCTTGTTAACAGCAGCTGTTCATCACTAATGCTCAATCAGCACTTAATTAATCACATAATTATCTCATTAACTTTAACACTGCTTCAGTGTTACTTTAACACTCTTTTAGAGTGGGACCATATATGCTCCGAGGAGTGTTAATTTAACACTCTGGAATTTCCTGTGTACTAACACACTGTGTAACTGTTACCATGTCTAAATAATATGTATAAATGTGCATTTAAATAGTTTATTAATCATTTAGTTAGACTTTCTAACTTGTTAATAATATAATGCTTAATTTAGATAATTAGATTAATAAATTATGAAAATACAAGTGCTAAAAACATTATAGATATGCTTATAAATCAAGAACAAAGCATTTATTAAAGCTGCATTTATAAACTACTTACTACTGTCTATTAATGTAGGGATAATGCTTAATAAAGGATGAATTGACTATTTACTAATGCTTAACTAATGACTCATGGCATTCAATTATTAAAAATGGTTACCAAGATAAGCTAAGAGAATAAAGTGCTCAAGTTTTTTATCTCTCAATTATCTAACAGTTGTGTTAGGAATGTTGTTCCTAGAATCCTTTCAGCAGTTATACATGTATACTCTTCAATAGACTGTTTGTAAATACAGTTGTCTCTTTTCCTTAGATTGTCAGCTTCTACCTGGAAATAACTTTACAACCGAGTGCAACATTCCAGGAAATTTTATGTGCAGCGATGGTGAATGTATTCCTGGAGGTTGGCAGTGTAACGGCTTTCCAGACTGCTTCGACAAGAGTGACGAGAAGGGATGCCGTAAGTCTTACCTTCCCTGCACACTAGAGTCCACACAGAGCTGAAGAAATTTTAATCTTTAAAAATCTCACAAAAATATTGCATAAGTAACAAGTAGCTTAATATTTAATTGGTGATTTTTGGCATTAGCTGTAAGAAGTAAGTGATGTAGCAGAATTAATAGTACAATGTAGGCATATGTCAAACACGGATACCACCGTGTATCGTGTTTTCTCACGACTGGGCACCAGAATGCAGTGGATTGCAAAGGTGAGGTGAGTCAGATGACTGTTTCCTTGTATTATTTTGCAGCACCAGCTAAGGACTCTAACTTTAACAATTAATCAAGAATGATTGTTGAATAAATATAAATTGGAGTGAGTTTGTTATATGACCAGTCTAAAGGATTTGTGAGATACAGTATCGATTGCTTGTAACTTGTAGAGCATCTACTGTAATATCAACAAAAGTGTAATAAAAGGGTAAACAGCTACTAAATGAAAACCATTAATGTATAAGGAAGTAAAATGCATAAGATTTATAATTGCAAGGTGACTAAGTTGGATGTTACCATAGCAGTTACACATAATTGTATGGAAAGATAAACTGTTGTTTCTCTGGAACTAATAAGGAAAATCTGAATTATTCAACAAATAAAACAAATTATTATTTGTAATTAACTGGCATCAGGTATACAAAATCTAATGCAAAGTAGAACATTATATACTGACAATGCACACTAATGCCAAGGTCTCCGAAAAGTGGTTTGGAAAAGTTATATTTATGGTCCACTAAAGCCCGAGACACACTGAACGATTTTCAGCTGCCCCAGTCGAAAGAATGGCATTGTGAAACAATCGTGTCGCAGTGTGTTTGCTGCTACAATCCACGTTTACTGACCAACCAATAAAGACGTGACATGAAATCAATGCAACATAGCACTAAAACATAAAACCGCTTACCTCAAGCTCTTATCCCTTCCTCTTTTGCCGCTTTGTTTTTTTTTCAACGCACATAAAATCTACAACTGTCAATGTTATTCATCATGCTCTTTTTGTTAACATGCTGATGACGTTTTATTCTTCTATAGAAACGTGCGTCATATCGTACGAGTTAATAGGTGTTATCATCGTACAGTCTACATACATGTCCTATCCAAGTTTATTAGATCCATGTCACACAGTGTGTTCTGCAATTATAAAACTGCTTACCTCAAGCTCTTATCCCTTCCTCTTTTGCCGCTTTGTTTTTTTTTCAATGCACATAAAATCTACAACTGTCAATGTCATCAATGTCAACAATGCCATCATGCTCTTTTTGTTAACATGCTGATGACGTTTTATTCTTCTATAGAAACGTGCGTCATATCGTACGAGTTAATAGGTGTTATCATCGTACAGTCTACATACATGTCCTATCCAAGTTTATTAGATCCATGTCACACAGTGTGTTCTGCAATTATGCAGATATAGAATTTTAGGCTTGCTAAAATTGTGCAGTGTGTAGAGGACTTTAGTCATGTAACGAGTCCAATGATGGCAGATGTATTCCACTAGTTGTGCTGAAAAGGAGTTGGATTCCATTTAAAGTCTTGAACACAAGGCACTGTGGAATGTTGAACTCCTAGAGCACAGAGAAGGTCTTTGTTTTGGACAGGCAGATCAAAGGCTTTTTTTTCTTTTCCTACTTTTCTTAATTTTTGTTCTCAGTTCTTTTTTTACAGACAGAATTTGAAAGATGAGATTTTGTTTCTTATCAAACTTAACAAAACACAAAGCTTGTTGTGATTATTGGAGGATTATTGGATGGGAGGTAATGTATAGTGATATTGTATGAAGATTTATTCTCATATATCAACTGAAACAGCATAGACTAAAAAAAATACATTAAGACTAGATGTCTATACCTTAAGATGAAGATATATAAAACTAGAAGTTTTCAATTAAATTCAGAAAATGCAGTAGCTAAAACAACACTGTATTAGTTTCGTGCATGCATACCAAAACCAAAAGATCACTACAGAAAATGTTCTGTTTGAATTACACCTCTAGACAACATTTAAAACCCCAAAAGAGCATTTACCCGAAGATAAGTGTGTCTTGGCAAAAGCTGTTGTTGTAAAGAGAGAGCAGAGAGGGAACCGTCACATTTTCAGTAATCCACAAATAGGAATTCAAGGGAAAATGCAAAGCATCTAATAGCGGTGTTGAATAGGCCAAGATGTGGATTGCCACAAACCTACCGCACATGACTATGTGTGTCTTTCAGAGTAAAAACCAAGAGTCAGATTACTAAATGGGACAAAAAAAAATGTGAGTGCACAATCCCATACTAGCACCAATGGGGGTGGAAAGTTCTTTTAAACAAAACAAATTCAAGATAGATTTAAACATTCATGATATTTTCGTTTATATCGTCTGATGCACATTTTTTACACCACACTGATCCTCACAAACTTTTTCTAAGCACGCTCTTTCGGTGAGCATCCGTTATAAAACACTCGCTGTATATTAATTTTTACAACTATGTGAATATACTGAAGTGCTTAAGCAGAAATATGACACTACTGGAACTTCAAACCGGACTGGTTTGTATGGTTAGATGAAACAAAAAAAAAAGCTTTTTAACAGCAAACACTGAAAAAAATTTACCCCATGTGTACAATTAAATATACTGCTGTATCTTTAATGTTGTAATCCTATTATTTCTGCCAGAGATCCTGGACATCTTGTTCAGATAGATGGCATCATGAATTCTATCAAATACCAACAGATAAAAAATGTAAAACTGACTGTCCATGCTAGAAATCTTATAATGGGCCAAGGATTAAATCTTACAACAGGATGATGATCCAAAAACAAACATCAAAATCAAAACAAAAATGGGTCACTGAAAACAAAACCAAGCTTCTGCAATGTTCCCTGACCTGAACCCTATAGAAAATGAGTGGGATGAAAGATAGAGGAGAAGAACCAACATGGACCAGGAGTTATGAAGGGTCTGGAGAAATTCTGTATGAAGGAATGGGCTCTGATCTCTTGTCAGATATTCTCTAAACTTATCAGGCATTACAGGTGAAGACTCAGAGCTGTTATCTTGGCTAATGCTGGGTACACACTAAATTATTTTTAAAATCTTGTAAGATTTTCAAAATGTGTGAGACCACAAACATGAGGACAAAAAGTCCTAGATTTAAGGGTTTTGCTCCTATACTGTGTGGTGTGCCGCGATGTGACAAAGACAGCACACCACACACCAACAGATTTTCATCCAGAGTCCCGACTGTGAACACGGGAAATCTCGCAAAATCTCTCGAGACTTGAGAATTAACATTGCAGATGATAGGCAGGAAGAAATTGTAATGATAGTGTTTGGAATGATTTTGACAGAAAATGGACATGTTGTATAAACAATCGACAAGCTGATCCTCCATCTCTGCTGTCCAAATCCTTTTTTTGCTGCATTCTTATGCTTCCTTCTTCTGTCAGCTCGCTTTCTGATTGGATATTTTTTTGTTTCACATGATAATCTCCAGATCGTATGCGCGCTTGTCCTCGGGGTTCCCCCCACACATCAGGATTTCTGATCGTAAATATTCAACATGTTGAATATTTACGATTTGCTGAACTCAAAGATCTAAGACTTTTTCTATGTACACAAAAGGCCCATTTCTCTGTGTTAGTGAGCACTTCTCCTTTGCCGAGATAATCCATCCACCTCACATGTGTGGCATATCAAGATGCTGATTAGACAGCATGATTATTGCACAGGTGTGCCTTAGGCTGGCCACAATAAAAGGCCACTCTAAAATGTGCAGTTTTATCACACAGCACAATGCCACAGATGTTGCAAGTTTTGAGGGAGCGTGAAATTGGCATGCTGATAGCAGGAATGTCCACCAGAGCTGTTGCCCGTGAATTGAATGTTCATTTCTCTACCATAAGCCGTCTCCAAAGGCATTTCAGAGAATCCAACCGGCCTCACAACCGCAGACCACGTGTAACCACCACATCCAGCATCTTCACCTCCAAGATCATCTGAGACCCGCCACCCGGACAGCTGCTGCAATGCTGGTTTGCATAACCAAAGAATTCTTTTGTTCGAGTTCCTGCCAATATCCTGCAACTTCACACAGCCATTGACGAGGAGTGGACCAACATTCCACAGGCTACAATCAACAACCTGATCAACTCTATGCGAAAGAGATGTGTTACACTGCGTGAGGCAAATGGTGGTCACACCAGATGCTGACTGGTTTTTGGACCCCCCCGGACCCCCCAATACAGTAAAACTGCAGATTTTAGATTGGCCTTTTATTTTGGCCAGCATAAGGCACACCTGTGCAATAATCATGCGGTCTAATCAGCATCTTGATATGCCACACCTGTGAGGTGGATGGATTATCTCGGCAAAGGAGAAGTGCTCACTAACACAGATTTAGACAGATTTGTGAACAATATTTGAGAGAAATAGGCCTTTTGTGTACATAGAGAAAGGCTTAGATCTTTGAGTTCAGCTCATGAAAAATGGGGGCTAAAACAAAGTGTTGCGTTTATAAATTTGTTCAGTGTATATTATTACATTAGTCTAATATTGGCTACTCGTAACTAAAAAAAACACAAAAAACATGTTTTTTAGTCATAAACATGCTTTGTATGTATTATACAATACAAAAACTTTTTATATCTGAGAAACTAAATTATTATTGTTAAGCATGTTATAAACATTTAGTAATAAAAAAAGACTTACTCATCAGAAATCGTCTCCTCTGCTGGCTCGCGTTCTTCTTCTGAGGTAAATTCTGGCTTATTTCTCTCAGCATGTCTTCCAAAAATGAAAAGTTGAACCAAGATGAACTTAATGAATCTTCACGTTTTGTTTACGGAGGTGATATAGGCGTTTACATGTTCGGGTGTGTTCACATTACCGATAATGAGCTCAGACAGGAAAAATTGTACTTCTCATTAGTTTTTATACGGATTACTTTACCAGAGAAAATTTGTTTTCAAATGTGACTTCAT